CACAGCACTCCAAGAAAGAGGAAAAGCCTGGCCTACAAGATCAGGTGAAGATCAACTCCCAGCAAGCGCGACCCTTCGGGTGCCAGGGCAGGGACCGAGGCCGATGGCTGCACGGGGCGCGCTGCTCGTCCCCGGTTCACGTGGCCACGGGGACCAGGCCCGCAGGGCACAACCGAGTCCACACCATCGCAACCCAGTGGTGGGTTTGGGGTCAGGACTGAAGACCATCTATGTGGTTCTTCCATGCCAGGATCAGTACAGGCTGCTCCCAGCCACCTTCAGAGAGCAGCACCCTTGGGACATGGCCAGTCCTTAATCACAGGTGAAACCGAGCTCAGCACAGCATGGGGACGCAGCCGATCTTCCCAGGGAGCTAAATCCAAGGAGGGACAAGCCACGTTCATTCACTGCCTTCTCCACTTTGCTGCTGTGAGGAGCATCTTCCCCAAATGGCCAAGAGTCAGAGCTCTTGTTCAAGGCTCTCCATGAGACACCTCCTATAGCTACCGTGTCCACCCAAACCCAAGAGCTACAGCAGGAGAGTCTAGAGACCACTCTGCCCCCAAGAACCCATCCCCTGCACCCCAAAACCTCTTGCACTTACTGCAAATGGGTGGTACGGGGTGGCCGCCGCAGCCCCTCGGGCCCCAGGGGTAGATGGGAGCATGGAAAGTCCCGTTGAGAAGATGCCCAAAGCACTAAGGTTCAGCCCAGGGATCAGATTGGCTTGTTGCTGGGAAAGCAAAGACATGGAGAAACGCGTAAAAGGCAGAGTGGGGTTTTTGGGCTTCTCATCACCCAGTGTGAACGTGATGGGTGAGGGCCAGCCCTTGCCGTAACAGATTGACAACCTGCCCGCCCCACAATTTTCTTCTGGCCACCTCAGCAGTGGCTCTGAAGCAGGGGCATCCCAAGCAGGGGGGCTGGGAGCTTACGTTGACGGCCACCACGTCGTTCTCGTAGGCCTCTCGCAACTTCTTCATGATCTCCACTTCAGCATTGGAGCACGCCTCCGTGCTGCCCTTCACCGTGATGGTCCGCTCAGGGTTATAAATGGTTAAATCCTGCAAACTACCCCACAGATAAATCCAGAGACGCGATTACTTTCTTTTTTTTCCAAAAAAAAAAAAAAAAAAAAAACCTCAAACCAAAGATGAGTGTTGCCCCCCGAGACAGCGTGGGACCACACGCCCTCTCCCTGCCCAACGTCACCGTCCCCCTGGGATGAGGAACACCCACCCGAGATGGGCAATGTGCACGGGAGGACGCAACTGCTCTGTTTTCTGGCTCCAGCGCTGCCCACAACGCGTTGGATGGAGGGGGATGGCGTGGTGTTCACCAGGACTTACGGGGAGATGGTGATCTTCGTGCCGGTGTCCTGCTCGATCTTCTTCAGATTGCGGCCCTCCTTGCCAATCAACCTCCCCACCAGACTGTTGTGTGCCAGGATTTTCAAAGGAATCTCTTCTGCTCTAAAATGGATTCAAAAATAAAATCTAAAGTCCCATCTGGCCAGGAACCAAATTTCCAGCAACGGGCCCTAACGAAGTGGTGGAAGGAGCAGGGGAACCAGCACTGCATCTCCTCAGCTTCTGGGCAATAGGAACTCAGGGTCTTCCCAAGCCTGATGGCACATTCTGTATTTCATGGGGGGTTTTGTTCCCCCAGTTTGCCTACATGCTCTTTGGACCCACCTGAGCTTCTGGTCTCTACAGCACTGACAACCACACCACAGAGAAGTTAACTGATCCTTGACTCTTATCCTGAAACTCCAAAGGCCAGCGGTTCCCTCTGGGGAGGGGGTGACAGAAGATGGCTTCTTCACCACCGATGGCTGAATTTACCTTCCATTCCACCAAACCTGCCCGTTTTGCTGAGCCAGGGGCACTGACTATTGCACTTACGATTTAGTTTCATCAGCCTCCTTCTGCATGATATCAAGGATCATGCGACACGCTTCGGAGCACCCCTCTGGCGTGGCATGGATGGTGATGGGCTTTTCGGCAGCGCCGGCGTTCTCCTTTCGATGGATGTCAACCCTAGGGCGAAACAACCAGCAGAGAGAAGCCCCCTGAGATGCGCTGGCATCCCATGAAGGCTTTCAAGAGCTCACGGTTCAGAGGAAGGCTCATCTCAACACCTGCTCAAGCTTTGGGGTGAACCTGGTACATCTACCATCACCTGGTCTCATGCAAGCCCAGGCAGTGTTTCACTTCGGCTGGTTTAGATGGATTTGAGCTACGTTCGCCTTTATGACCTGAAGGCCTGCCTGGGAGCTAAGGGATGTCAATCAACATCAAATGATGCATCAAGATGGGGTAAGAACAAATCCTCAACTGGACAAAGCCCTGAGCAACCTGGTCTATCATCTTTGACACCAGCCCCATTTGGAGCAGGAGACCGGGTTAGAGGTCCCCAGAGATCCCTTCCAACCTCAACCGCTCTCTGCCCAACACCTCCAGCGCCCAGCGGCTGCCATGACAGTTACGTGTCCTTTGGGACAGAGACAACTTACCCCCAGGCAGCGTTTTGTCACGACACGGAGGCACGCGTCACCAACAGCGCTCGTACTCACGCCCTTCCACGGGAGACCAGAAAGCTCTCCCTTGTGCACCGGCAGGAACCGTGCTCTAGCTCCTCTGGTCCTCCCCTCAGCTCATGGCGGGGAGGAGGCATGTGCCTCCAGCTCGCTCCTCACCGCTCAACCATACCTGGCAAAGACCCTGAGAGAGAGGGAGAGAGGAAAGCAGGGTAGGAGACTCGTGCGCTTCAACCACGCGTCTTGAAAAACAGGGGTAAGCAACCTTTCCATCTTCTCCACGTGACTCCACACGCTCCTTCCACCAGAGGATGATGCCGTGCAGCCATCCTGCCATCGGCCACCACCTTGGGGTCCCTGTCGCTGCCGCAGCCAGGGCTGGGCTGGCACAGATCTTCTGAGAAGGTGTAGTAGTGGCCACTCAGCCACCCAGTGCATGCCACCAGCGCTCAGCTCCAACACGGCACCCTCTGGTCACGTCTGTTTTCATATGAGGTCCCCGTCCTGACGGGGATCATTCACAGGTGCTGCTGTGCATGCAAGGCCAAGGGTTGCGGTGCAGAATGCCCCCTAACCAGCACCACATTTGGATGCTGCAGGATCACGGTGGGTTTGTGTGGGTCAACTCTTCCAGGAGCTCATGAACCAGCGCGTAGGAGCAAGGATGCTTCACCTACAGGTAGATGGGGAGCAGCTGGGTGAACCTCCCCTGAGATGAGGAACTGGCCTGATCCCACCAGCCTCAAAAGGGACCCCAGGGTGGTTTTATCTGAGCACTGAAGAGGGAATGAAGACAGAGTTTGATCCCCTTTGCAGGTTACATCTCTCCAGATCTCCTACAGCTTCAGCCAGAGCAGCTTGGGCAGGGGAGCGCTCCTGCTCAGACTGTGCAAAGGCACCAGCACCACCAGGCTCCCTCTGCCCTTTGGTTGTGTCTACAGCACACGGTGACCCAGTCCGCATCCTGTCGCTCGTGCGTGACACCCTCCTAAGGCTCTCCCAGCTGTGGAGCTCCAGAAGGTTGACTTGGAGGACGTATTCCTCCAGAGGCAGCGCCCAGCAGGCACGGTGACACCCACTGCCACCCCTTCCACCACGGAGACTGCAAACGCACCACGACGTGCCGCAAGAGGCAATGACAGGCCCATGCTCCAGAGCAGTGCCGCAACGTCACGCTGGGTTGACGCTCCCAGCTAGAGGGAACCGATGAGGAAGCCATGGCTGCCCCAACAAACCCCACAGACAGGAGCTCAGGCAGCTTCTTGAACCCATGAGCAGTTGAGGCTGGTGGAGACGGAGCATGCAGCGGAGCCTTTGTACCGAAGAAGGGTCAAGAGCCACGGATGGGCTGCCTGGATGCACCAAAGTGACAAGCCTGGACAAGCCTGGGAGAGGGACATGGGCCAGGTTTCTGGCTGATCTCCAACCCACCCCAAACGTGGATGGGCAGGCATGAGCGTAGTCTGCAGAGAGAAGATGGGGTGCCAGGAAGGGGCCGCTGCATTCAGGCATGTCCTGCCCTGAATCGCTGGAGGGTGGAGGAGGACTCTGGACTTCCCAGCACATCCCAGTGCTGCTACTGCACAGCTCCAGTCCAACGGGAAGATGGAGAAGGTGATCCTCAACCCCCTCACGGCACCAGCAGCTGCCTGGGACCCTGCAGGCAGGGGAGACCGGGGCAGCTGACAACAGGGATGGTGGGAGAGGGACAGGGCAGGTTTGCCGATGGTGCAGCAGGAAAAACCTCCAAGACACCTTACAGGGGGGCTGGGAACGCTTCAGAGAGCGGTGGCCATGAGGGACAGCCCTCTCCAAGTGGACGGTACGGCGTGCACGTAGGGTTATCCTTGGCCGCATAGCTGCTTGGTAGCAATGGTCCTCTCCTCCTCAAGTTACAAGGGCTGCAACCACTGTGGAAGGTTGTCTGGTGGGGTGGGCTCTTGGTCTGGGCTCCTCCTCAGCCAAGGAAGAAGCTGGCTCAACCTGGGGACAGTTTTGTCCCCTGGAACTCAGGAGCAGCTCTGGGCATCACTGTGTGTGGAGACAGGAGCGAAGTCGTGCATGACCAGAGGAATCCAGGACCCAACGTCGCTCTGGGTGGGAGCAGGGGCTGGGCAACAGGATGTCACCAGCAGCCTCATCCCCAGGATCATCACACCGGTGGGTGAGGGTGGCCTTAGCAGGGACAGAGCTGCAGGCTGACACCCCAAACTGAAGGCAACGACCTCCTGTGACTGCCTGGGTTGGGTGCATGAGGTCCCCCTTCCCCAAGGCTAGAGCGGAAGTGGTGGTCCGCCATGGCATGTGGCCTGCTCAGGCAGGTCAGGAGAGGCGAGAGCACGGAGCACGGCCTTCCTCCACAGCACCAGGTCTTCAGGGCAGGCATGGGAAGCCAACTCACAAGGAGGGGCAGCAGGCAGCAGTGTTTGGCCTTGCGGTCAGGAGAAACCATCAGCCAGCACCTCTCACCTTCCTCGCCAGGCCTGAGCTTGCAAAGGGCAACCTGCCAGTCTTGGGTGGCAAGGACACAGCTACGATCTGCTGCTCATCACGCCAGGGGACTCACCTAGAGAAGCAGGGCTTGCAGCCAACTGGGACCAGCTCATGGCTACTTAGGTGGCCACGCTCTAGGGCTAGCTGTGCTCGAAGAGCTCCTCTCCCTACACATCTGACCCCTTTCCGTACAAACCTCTTCCTGCAAACCCATCGCTGGGGTTTGGCTCGCTCAGCTGCAAAGCAGCGCGTCTTCCTACCTCCTGCTCAAGTGGACGCGCTATTACCAAATAATTTGCCTCTAAAAGCTTCTCTGAGAACTAATGAACTCTGAGAACTGATGCCCTGGAGGATGTTCTGGTACAGGAGTCCTACATCCTGTGGGACCACCGGGTTCAGGATGATGAGCATGGGAGAAGACAGCTTTGGGTTAAACACAAACGAATCTGGGCAGGAACGAACCATGCAGGAAAACCATGCAGAAAATCAGAGGTGAAATCCATGTGAACATTGACAAGAGAAACACGGAAAATTTTGTCAAGGCAGCCCCCTCCCTTTTTTTTTTTTTCCTTCAAAACCAAAAATGTTTTGACTGCAAAAAAAAGGCTTCAAACAGTTACAAAGAACCCGTCCTTCCCAAGGCAGCGCTCCTACGGTGCCCCTTTTCCCCCTCCAGCAGCTCTAGCCCACACGGGGCACTGCGGGATGAGCAAATCCCAAGGGCAAAGACCACCGGCTGCTGTCCCTGGGATCCCCCTTCAGCATTTTATCCCCAAACTTGCCATTTTTCCCTAAAGCCTCGTCCCCAGCTGTTCTCATGATTAGGCTTTAGAAACCCATTCCTGGCCGTTTTTCGGCGTGCATCGCCCTCTTGCCGCACCCAGACCCCCCACCCCGGCCAGCAGGAACGGTTTAGGACACGGGCTCGGCCACCACCCCGTGAAAGTTGCACCCCAAGAAAACAGCGCTGGCCGGCACTCAAAAGCCCCGAGTGCAGGGAGGACCCATGCTGGGGGACCTACAGCACCCTACGGAAGGAAACAAAACCGTTTGAGGTACTTACTTGGACTGGGTTTGCTTAGTAAGGTTCTTTATGGTCAAGCCCTCCTTTCCTATGATCGCACCAACAAACTGCGTGGGCACCAGCATCCGCAGTGGGAAATCGAGCTGTTTGGGCTGCGAGGAGCCCCCCGGGGAGGAGCCCCGCTCCCTGGAAGAGTGGCCCCCACGGCGGGATCGCTGAGGGGGCGGAGGGGAGCTCACCTCTTCATCCGGGATGTAGGAAATCTTGAAGGAATAGTTCTCAAACTGGTGGCCGCTCAGCTTCTCAATAGCTCTGCAAGGGAGAGGCGGAGGGCGGTGAGGGGCTCTCCAGGGACGGGTGCATCTCCAGAACTTGCCCTTGTAGACCGTGGTCCCTCCCCAGTCTGGAGAAGGTGGCTGTGGACAGCCAGAGCCCCTCACTTCCCCCCGCGAAGCAAGCCCCATAGCGTGGTGGGACGATGTCCCCTCCCACCTGGATGATGCCAGGGCTGGCACACGGCTTGTCCCCCCAAAGCAGAGGTGGGATGCCAGCCTGGGGGCCTCCCACTTCACCCAGGGAAAGTGCTGGCCAGAAGCTATCACACAGCATGGAAACGCTCTTGTGGGCTTTTTAGACACGGAAGAATGGTGACATTTGGACATGGACATGGTGACAGAGGGGCTCTGAATAAGAGTGCCGCTCCAAGGAGAAGGACGCGGCACGTGGTGCCCCTCTGCCGGGAACCCTCCCTTCCCAGCTCGGTGAGGCCAGGGGTGCAGCTCTTCATCCCCCAAGCTCCTCTTCGGTGGTGCGATGCTCAGCTGTGCCGGAGTCTGCCATGACTTCTGCAAGCAGTGATGGCTTCAGCCATACTTCTTTCCTCCTCCTACCGCGTCCTGCTTTGGCTACTTACAGGCGGGTGTATCAATGCACCCCTGCAAGCAGCTCCTGAACTTCACATCCAAAGAGGACTTCTGCAGCTTTGCCGTCCGTTTCCAAAATCAGCGCAGTGCCCTGCCATCCCATTTCTCTGCCAAAGTCCTCCTTTAACTTGTTCCTATCACAGCAGGCTCTAAACCAAGCGCACGTAGCCACGAACCGCCCTGGCCTTTCTTCCCATCACTCGCTTCTGCGTGGAGCTGCTGAGCACCACCCAAGGCAGGCATCAGTCCGGCTGGATGTGATGGACTACAGCATCTTCGCTAATCCTGAAGACTCTCACCCCAAAGCATCACTCATTGCTGTGTGGGCGAGACTCTTCGTCTTCCTTTCTTGCCAGACACCCCAAGACATGGCAGCTCATGCGTTGTTTATCTGTGGTCCATGGCACCTTCCCTTCGCCTAGTGGCAACCACTTTCCTCTGGCCATCTGAGGTTGGGCCATACGCCCAGCGTGGCCACCCCAGCTGGAGCAAGGTGGACTGTTCTCTGGCATCCTGGACCAGCAGATCATTCTCCCCATCTCCATCTTCACGAGCCCAACCTTGTGATGGTCAACTCAGGTGAGAAGCTGCTGGAACGTCCATCAGCAAACAGACTCTGGCAAAGGCTTCTCCTTGCCTGGCTCTTGGTCACATCAAAAATACCCTGGCCACCAAGTGTGAGATGTCCTCACTACTTACTCGTAGCCAACTTAGGGTGGTGTCCAGCACAGGGCTGAAGTCTCTACAAGCCTGTAACACAGCATTTTGCTTGAATAGTCCTCACATTTCTGAAATAACCCCTAATTTGTGGGTTTTTTTCCTCTGCTGGCTACAATAAGCCTTTAGGCATGTCTTCGCACAGCCCTACAGCACCGATGCACAGCCTCGAGGGGTTCTTCCATCCTTGTCAGGATCTTCTTCATGGGTGGCATTTCTTTACAGCTCCTCTGCCCAACATGCAGGTGAATTTACTCTCTGCTGCTCTTCCCTCTCCTGCAGAAACCAGCCATGGACCTCCTCTAACCTGTTATTCATCCACCCAAAGGCCCTCTCTCTTGTCCATGGCAGAAGAATTTCCCGAAAGCCTTTCAGAAGTCAATCAGCCGGTTTCTCTGGGCTCCAGGACACCAGAGGTGACAGTCCCTGAACGTTTTGGTCTCCAACTTGAACATGCCCCAGATGGCCAGGGGTACTTACACCTCCCATCACTGCAGCGTTTCTTCACCATCTCTCCCACCTCCTTTACTACATTCCACCTCTTCAGCGGCTCGGGCTGGGTGGCTGGATTGGCAATTAATCCGGTGCATTCCCAGTTAAGGTCTGGACTTCCAACCTGGGAAGACGACTCCTTGATCAACTACTTACCTGACCTGGTCCTCAACTTTCTAGAGCGCTTTGCTCCCTGAAGACAAGGCCATTGTGACTCGGCAGATGGCCTTGCAAGGAGGACGGTGTCCAAAGGGAATTGCAAGATGGCACATCTGGGAGGCCCTTGGGGTCAAGAAGAGAAGGCACAGAGGAAGAGGGAACCATCGCAGGGCTGATGGCCTCAAGCTGGTCCAGCAGTATATGCGCATGTATGGTGGGGCACCACGAGAAACCCCATCTCCCATGCAAGGAGAGAAGGCAGGAGACTGCCGAGCGGTGGGATGAAGAGAGGACTGCTGGTGGAAGACACGTGAGATGACACAGCTCAAGATAAAACCGACATTTGCCTACCGCATCTTGAGAAGACACACAGACAGTCCTTAAGGCTTGAAGTTTACACTGTAAGAGCTTAGAAACAACCCAAGGAGGCTGAGAGAGAAGGCAGGAAGCCTGGGAGATACCTGGGATTCCTTGGGAAAAGTTCAGGTGGCGTGAAAATATGGACAAAACAAAACAAAACCCACTTACACTTTTGCTTCTTCTTTAGCTGCGTACGTTACGTTGACAACGGCTGTTTCTGTGTCTGTGTTGACTGCGGGAAGAGCAAGAGAAGGAGCGTTAGAGCAGGGGAGGACAGAGATGACGATGATGCTCCCAGCCCCCCCAGTACGGCCCGGAGGGGGAATGCAGGGTGGGACGGTGGGAGGGTAATGCCTGTCCATGGGGGACAGCCCCGTGCAGGGGCACGCTTGGCCACCACTGTATTTTCTCCCAGCACGAGGATGGGGCTGGGCTGGCAAAGGATCAGAAGATGCCAAGGCTGGATCCTGCCACCCTCGCCAAGGAGGACGCACAGCCAGACATCACTGGTCCACCAGCGAGCCCCGAACAACACTCAGCTCCTTTTCACTTGTGGGGACAAGTGAGTTTTCATTTGCCAGCAACCAGGAGAAGCCCCAGGCGATGGAGGACCAACGGCTGGTGCCATCCAACCATCGGACGTGGCCCCACCCTCCGTCAGCAGGGCTTCCGTCCACAGGGAAAAACCATTTTAGCCCAGTACCAGTGACTGGGAAAACCAGGTTTCACCCCACTGGGTTTTCTCTGGCATGGGCAGAGCTGGGGAGCAGTGCTGGGACCTCTGTAGAGATGAGGACCTTGGTGGACCGTCTTACCTTGCTCTACATTCTCAACCGTCCCATACTGAGCTAACAGGCCATCCAGCACCTGGGGAGAGAGAGCAGCAAACAGGCCAGGTGAGGCAGGCAGGGAGCAGGCAGGGAGCAGGCAGGGAGCAGAGCCCATCACCCACAGACACCCTCCAAAGAGCCAGCACCACCCAACTGCATCCCATTATCCCAATGATGCCCTACTGCTCAAAGCTGCCCCACGGCTCCAGGACCCACAAGCAGGCAGGAGACGGAGCCCAGTTCACACTCCACCTCCCTCCTGGGGTCACTGGGAAGGTGAAGAGCGACCCACGTGCAGACCAGCTCCAGCCCCACAGCTTGCTGCTCGGCACGGCTGAAGGAGGAGGAGATGATAAATTTTAGGATGCTTTTAGGATCGTCCGCTCCTTACCTCCCACTGCAGGTGGGGGGGGATGTTTCGGATCTGGATCTTCCTGCTCCTGCAAAGAGAAAGCCCCGGGTTAGGGTCTGCAGGCACGCCGCAGCAGGGGGGCAAGGGCTTTTGGGAACAGGAGGGCAGCCGCTGAGAGCTTGCCGAAGCACCCCACTTCCCCATGCAGAGCTGGAGCAGCTCAGCCCCAGGGAAAGCCATTTCCCCCAGCCTTGCCCCCATCACCACCCGCCTGGGCCAAAGCCGTCTTGGGAACGCTCACTCCTCGTGCTGGCTGTCGGGTTTCCAAGGAAACCTCCTAAAACGAGCCTCTGCAGAGGCTGCACAGGCACGGCTGCGATGGACGCATCACCCCTGACTGCACTGCCCCAGGCCGGCCGGCTGCGGGGGGACAGGACCCCGAGACCCACCACGGCCAGCCCTGCTATCCCTTGAGGGGGGCTCTCCAAAAGTGCCTCCTGACGGTGTCCACCACTTCCCAGCAACGTGGGGCTGCTTTCCTCAGAGGTCGGCCCTTGGAGATGGCCAACACACCCAACCTTGCCTGGCTGCGCTCCTAACCGTGCGTGATCGTACTCCCAACCTGGCCCCGGGGCAGCCCTGGGGCACGGATGCGCAGGAAGCATCGCAAAGGCTTCCGCGAGGCAACGGCCACCAAACGCCTTCCCTGGCCTGGCTGTGAGACGACGTGCTTGGGCAGCGGGGAGTTCTGAGACACCCGAGTCCACGGGGCATCCAGCCAAGCCATGAACTCGCCCGCCGTCCACCCGGATCAGCATTCGTGACCCTGCTCGGAGTCACTCAGCTCCGACCAAAGCAGCGTCCTGTCTTCCCACCTGGTCCGGCTCTAATGCTCCCATCAGAGCAGAGCCGGACCGCCTCTCCCAACATCAGGGATGAGTCTTCTGACCGAGCCACCCCACGCACACAGCCGGGTTTTGAGAGCCGATCGGCAGCTGGAAGCTGGTTTGACAAAGCTTTGCCCTTCCTTGGCGTGCAGTCAAGGAGGACATTTGGAAGGACTGGTACCACCAGCCCGAACGCTATATGGGGACATGCAAGCAGCCACCAGCAGCCCCAGTTGACAGCCAGCAAGACTCAGGGCCCTTGGGCCAAATCCTGCAGGAGGAGGCCAGAGGAGCTCTGCTCGCCTGCAAACCATCAACACCCAACGCCTTGGCCTTCAACAGCTGGAAAACGAGACCCTCCAACTTTGGCCCCAGCAGCGAGGCTGGTCCCTGCGCTTGCTGCTCATTGCACGGGCGCACCCTGAGCCCTGGCAAACAATTTTGGGAGATAAAGAGTTTCTCGGGCATGTTTGGGGCCAGACGGCGGGGACAGGGAGGAATCACGGGGCACAAGGAGAACCGGAGGAAAGGCTGGCTGTCACGCAGACCCAAAGCAGCCAGGGCTGGGGAGAGCCATGCCCGCGGCGCTGGTGGTGGGCATGCTCCAGACACCATCCTCTGCCTCTACGGCCGCAGCACGCTCCGCTTGCTCCCGACTTCATAGCGCAGGACAACCAGAACCGCAGGACGGACAACCAGAACCGCGGGACGGACAACCGTCTGACTTGCGGAACACGAATTCGGGGCGCGGCACGAGCAACATGACTATAAGGATGCTGGTGAATACGTGCAGCAATCCGGGGCGTCCGCCCCGCAGGCTCCAAGCGAGAAAGGGACGGCGGGGAAAGGATGTTTCTTGAGCTGTGGGCTGTGAGGGCAAGACAAAATCCACAGCTCGCCCCACGGGAAGGACCACGGTCAAGCAAAGCAGCGGAAGGCACGGCAGAGCCTCACATCTCATGGTGCTGCTCAAACAGGTACGGTCAGCGACGGACAACAACGCCGAGGTGTGCCGAGTAAAACCCTGCCGCATCCTCCGCCAGCGGTCCTGCGGACAGGAGGACCTGGCCCGAGGGGGGGGCTCTGGCAGTGACGACCCCGCGCTGCTCCCCAGCCAAAACACCATTGGCACCCGAAAGATTTCCAGGGAAAAGCCCTTCTCTCGGCTCCAAAGCCCGACCGAGGCCCAGGACCAGCCTCTCCCCGCCGGCAGAGCGAGCCGGACGTTACTTCTACCACCTTCCAGCCCCAAAACTGAACTGGTGGCACCGTCACCTGCCTTATCCCAAGATGCCACCGCTCAGCATCAGCCATCCTCCTCCCCCAGGTCTCCTTCTGGGGTTCCTTCGGCGGCCAGCAGGTTTTGGACCCCAGGCATGTCGAAGCAGCTCATCCAAGTGAAACCAACACACCGGGAGGACTCTGGGACAGCAAATCCCTTTATTTTAATTTCCCTCGTTC